GGTCGGACGCCGTGAGCTGGCCGAGGAGCTGGCCCAAGAGACCTTCCTCCGCGTCTACAAGGCCCGCCACCGCTACGAGCCGGGCGCTAAGTTTTCGACGTGGCTATTCACGATCGCGGGCAACCTGGCGCTGAACTCGCTGCGGGGCCTGTCGCGGAAGAAGGAAGTGCGACTCGCCGCGCAGTCGCCCGACGAGACCGGCGCCGCGGCGCCGCATCCCACGGCGGCGAGCTCGGCGATGCCCACCCGCCAGGCCGACCGCACCGAGCTGTGCGACGCGGTGCAGGCGGCGATCGCCACGCTCAGCGAGCGGCAACGCACCGCGGTCTTGCTGGCGAAGTTCGAGAACATGGACTACGTGGAGATCGGCGAGGTGCTTGGCATGACCGACAAAGGGGTCAAGTCGCTGCTCGCCCGCGCGCGGGAGAAACTGCGTCAGGCGCTGGGTCCCTACATCGAACGCGGTGAAGCGGTCGGCGGACTCACGGGCGCCGACGCGATGACGCAAGAACTCGGCAGCGTCGAGGGGGGCTCGCGATGAGACCCGATGAAAACCACACCGACGACGAAATCAACGGCGCGGCTAACGGCCCCGACGAGGTGCTTGTGGCCTATCTCGACGGGCAACTCTCGGCCGAGGAGTGCGAGCGCGTCGAATCGATGCTGGCCAGCGACGCCGCGACGCGGCAACGGTTGCAGTCGCTCGACCGGGTGTGGAACGCGCTGGACGTGTTGCCGCGCTCGACAGCGTCGCCCACGTTCACCCGCTCGACGATCGAGATGGCCGCGGTGACGGCGGCCTCGTTGGCCAAAGAACCGCGCGGCGTTGACGAGCCGCGCCGCCTCCTCAAGACGCCGCGAGTCCGCATCCCGGTGTGGGCGGTGGCTTCGCTAATCGGCGTCGCCGGGGGCGCGATGCTGACGCTCGCCGCGGTGACGGCGCCCGAACGCCGCGCGATGGCGGACCTCCCGGTGGCGCTGCACGCGGCGGCGCTGGAGCAAGTGGGGTCGCTCGAGTTTCTCAAGAAGCTCGACGCCGGCGACAACAAGGGTCTCGACGAGTTCCGCGACGAGAGCGTCGGGTCCGCCGCCGCGAGTTGGGCGACGGTCACCGCGGCTTCGACGCCCGAGCGTCGCCAGTGGGTCGAGACGTTGTCGCCCGCCGAGTTGACGAGCGTCAACGCCCGCGTCGCGGAGTACCAGAGCCGACCCGCCGGAAAGCAAGCGTCGCTGCGGCAGTTCAACGACGCCCTCGCCGCCGCGCCCGACGCCGTCGAGCTGCGCGAGACGGCGCTGGCGTACGAGGCGATGGTCGGGCGGTTGCCTGCGTCGGAGCAGGCACGGCTGCGGCAGTTGACGACCGACGAACGGCTGCGCGTGGTCGATCGTGAGGCGCGCCGCTGGGCGCACGACGCGAAGCTCGACCTGACGGGCGCCGAGGTCGCCGCGTTCCGGGACGCCATCGACCGACTCACGGAGAGTGAGAGCTATCGCAAGGTGGGCGACCAGTTTATCGCCGCCCTGCGCGAGGGTTTCGCCGCCAGGCGGGGCGAAGGCCGCGACGACGACCGTAATGATGGGTGTAGTGATGGGCGTGGAGACGGCCGTCGAGGCGACCGCGACGAAGGGCGCGGCGACGAGCGGTTCAACCGCGGGATGCGTGAGATCGAGCAGGGCATGACGGAGTTCTTCAAACGCCAACCCAAGGTGTTGTTGTACGGCGCCACCGACAGGATCGCCGGCCGGGGCATGCGACGCGGCCACTTCGACCGGCTGCCGGGGGGCGAGAAGTTGCAGGACCTCGTTCGCGATAGTTGGCGCGGTTGGGTGACGGAACTCGAGAAGTCCTTGCCCGCCGACGCGGCCGCCTCGCTGCAATCGGCGGAAGACGACAAAGAGCTCGCGCGGCGCTTGAATCACTTGATCGGTCAGACCTTCGTCAAAGACGATCTGCCGACGGCGTTCGCGCGGCTCGACTCGACGACGATGGATCGGATGCTGCTGGCGCCGACGGACGAGTTCCGCGACGCGCTGAGCACGCCGGAGATGGGGGGCGGCCCATTCCCCCGGGAGTTCGACTTCCGCGGCGGGCCGCCGTTCGACGGCCCGCGCGACGGCGAGGGCCCACGCCGCGGGCGAGACTTCGGTCCCGACTTCGGTCGGGGGGGACCGCCCCGGGGATTCGGACCGCCACCGTCAGCGCCGTAGTTCGCCAGGGTGTTCGTCACCAAGCGACAGCGAACGAGATTCAACGCCGCCGTTTGCAGCCGAGCACCGCCGCCGTGCACGCCAAGGCCAGCGCTACTGCGCTTGGCTCGGGAACATTCACCTCGAAGGGGCGATCGCTGGGGCTGGCGACCAGCGGCGAGACGACGGGCCCCGCCAAGCCCGAGTTGACTTGCAGGAAGTCGTACTCGGGCATGAAAGGGCTGCTGAACATCAAGAGCCCGCTGACGTCGCCCGCCTGCAGCTCGGCGTTTTGGAAGAACCAATCCATCGAGGTGGTGTTGTCGCCGCCGCCGGTGGGAGCCATTTCATTGGCGAGGCCCAACGGCAGATAGCTCGGCGCCGAGACAGCGCCGCGGCCATCGGCGGGATCGACGCCGACAGTGAGCGTGTCGACGCCCGGGTTGGCGTTCGTCACCGAGACGATCTGATAGACGTAGAGCACCTCGTTCGCGCCGGAGGGGTCGGCGCCCGGGTAGCCGTTGTCGTCCAAGAACTGCTGGAACTGTCCGGGCCCGAAGGCGGCCCAATCGACCTCGGCCTCGAGCGTGTCGCCGAAGGCGGCGCCGGCGATGGAGACCGATCCGCGCCAACGACCGGCGTCGGGGCCGAACCCATCATTGAGGGCGCGGCTGGTCGTGGCGAGCGGTCCCGCGCCCGCGGCGTGACTGATCAATAGCACGCCGAGAGTCGCGAGGCTCAGAACGAGCGGGCGATGCATGCGAGAGAGTGACATGGTAGATGATTCCGCTTGGTTGTTGAGAATTGGGTGGAAGCAGCAACCTCGATCGAGTCGATCGCGCTCGGCGCGCAGCCCGACCGGCACGGGTCCATCGTCTAGCAACTGACGAGGGACTCGCTTGGAATTAGAAGCGAACAGGAAGGGAGGTTGGGGCGGGCCGGTCCCCCAACCGCTTTACGCCCGAGCGCGGCGTGAGAGGGGGGCCGCCAGGGCGCCGCTCGTCAGCAGGAGCAGCGCGCTGGGCTCGGGGATCGAGATCGGTCCCGGTGTTGGGACGCCGGCGATCAGGGCTTGCGTGCCGCCGCCGATGGTGAGTGACGCGCCGACAATCGGCAGATTGGGAGACGAAAACGCCAAGCCCCAACTGGTCAGGCCCGTGGCGATCTCCGGCGCGAACAACCAACGGGCGTTGGGTGTGAACGAGGCCGACGCCGCGTCTTGGTCGCCGATGTCGAATGTGCCGATCGTGTTCGCGGGGTGGTTGACGCCGATGATCTCGGCAGACAGCCCCTCGGGCCCGGTCGCCTCGACCTGGTAGGCATAGACAAACGCGTCGCCGGGCACGTAACCCAGGCCGGCGAAGTTGGCGTTGAAATCGGCGGCTGCGAAGACCGCGAAATCAATGACGCCGCTGACACCGACCCCGTTGTTGAACGGGACCGAACCGGTAACGCCGCCGTAGGCCGCCGCATGGCCATGAAGGATTCCCGCCACAGAGGACGCGGAAGACGCGGCGATCAACGAGAGTGCGGCAACGAATTGGAGAAGTCTTGTCGTTGTAAACGGAGTCATTGGATTCACCCTTGATGCGATGTGTCACGGCGCCAAGCTCACTTGGGGTTCGCCAGCTCGGCCGTCACGGCTCGCGACGCACTAGTTGCGGGGAGCGGCCGACAACGGATGGCCTATCAAGAAAACAGGACCGACCCCGACACGGGGGGGCGCAGAATCTTGGGGAAGACGGAGACGCCCTCCGCCTCAGTGGCGCACGAAACGCACCTGATAGAAACCAATCGACTTCAGCGGCGCGCCGGTCAGAACCTCGTTCATCGACGTCAAGAGCCGTTCACGCAGCGTGACGAGATTCGGGTCGGCGAGTTCTTCGCGGCTGGTCTCTCGCAGGACCTGCAGCGTGCGGTCCTCGATCTCCGGCGCCCGAGACTTTAGCTCGTCTTCGATCTCGTTGATCTTGTAGCGCAGCGTCTCGCCGTAGACTTTGACGTCGACCTCGGCCATCTCGCCCGTCTGCGGGTTCCGCGGCAGGGTGACGCGGTACTGGCCAAGCTTCACTTCGTCGATGCGGGTGCGGATGGCGTTGTTACGGACGCGCTCGACGAGCTTCTCGCTGTTGAAGCAGCCGACCGAGGGAACCCCGAGAGTGAGGGCGACGATCGCAAGGCGGACGGACGAGCGAAGACGGGTCATCGAGGGTTGCCAGCGGAGGTTGTTAGCCAGGGCGATACAACCGTCACAACCGGCCCGGTGCGGGCGCAGCGCGACACACAGCAAGCTTAGGTCGCTCTTGATCCGCACGCCGGCCAGTGGTGACGTAAACTTTCGGCGCCGCCATGCCTGACAACGTCGCTCGCCGCCGCTATTGCTTCGCCGCCGCCGCCCTCGGCGCCGCGACGGTGGCGCTATCTGGGTGCTTTGCCGACCCGCCGAAGCGGGCCTTCGAGGACATCGCCGCGCTCCCCAGCCGGGAAGAGTTCGTCGAGATTGAATTGGGCGACTTCGTCGTGCCGATCCCGATCATCCTCCAACCAACCGACAACGCCTTTCGACCCGACAACCTGATGCAGGTCGAGTTCGGGCTGTTCATCGTCGTCGAGCCGAGAGACGAGAAGCTCGTGAAGCGGTTGAAGGATCGCAACGAGGGCCGTATCCACGACAGCGTGATCCGCGTTTGCCGCAACACGGCGCGCGACGATCTGCTCGAAGCGCAGAAGTCGACGCTCAAGGCTCACTTGCTCGATGCGGTTCAGCCCTATCTCGGCGGTGAGGCGGTGCGGCGTGTCGGATTGAACCGCGTTATCCTGGATGAGCTCTGAGACGCAACATGCTTGCCGATTCGAAGTCCTACTTGCTGTCCGGCCTGATGCTGATTGCGCTGGCTTCACCTACCAGCGGTGCGCCGAGCGAAGGCGGCGGCAGAGAAGCTCCCACGGTGCGGGCCGTATCGATTGGCGAGTACTCGATCAGCGACCTCCGTGCCGTCGAGGGCGCGAAGCTGCGGATCGGCTTCGAGCTCTACGTTGACGCCGACGACGAACACGCGCCGGGGTTGCATGAACTGGTGGGCGCATACAAGCACCGCATCCGCAGCGAAGTGATCGTGGCGATCCGCACTTGCGAACAGACCGACTTCGAAGAGCCCGACCTCGACCGCATGCGGCGGCGGGTCTTGGCGAGGCTCCGGCGCGCCCTGCCGGAGCTGCCGATCGAAAAGCTTTACGTCGGCGCGTTCCAGTACTTCACCGAGTGAAGCGGCCAAAGGCGCTGCGCATCGCGTTGACCCTCGGCGAACAGCCGTGCTAGGTTACCTAGCTTACGGGTCGCCCCTGCGCACTGGTCGCGATGGCGCCCCCGGCATGCCGCCGGCGTCGGGCGAGCGGCTCGCTGTCCGTGCTTCCCCCGGCGATTCGAGGTCGCATCAGGGATGGGATTCCGCAGCCGGTTGGTCTTGGCGCACTGGATGCTAGCAGCGCTCGTGACGCTGACGCTTGGATGCGGCGCGAGCGAGCAGGCGCCCTCCCCGAGCGGCGACGCGCCCGCCTCCGAAACGTCGGCCGGCGGCGATAGCGAGTCTGCGTCCACGGGGCCCACAGGCCCCGTGGTGCTCGGCGACATGCTTGAGCCCTTCGACCCGCCGCCGCTCGAGGAACTCGTCAGCGGCAACGAGTGGATCGACCGCACGGTCGCCGGCGGTGACGAGCGGCTGCGCGAGATTCTGGCCGAACGTCCCGAGCCCGAGCTGTCGGTCGAGGAGGCGCTGGCGATCAAGAACGATTCGTCCGAGGCGAACGAGAAGATTAGCGCCGCGCTGGGCCAACTCGCGCCGGAGGACCGGTCGGGCGTCGACGACACGGCGACGTTCGTGCGGCACGTCGGCGGCGACCTGAAGACGATCAACCCGCTCCTGATGTCGAGCATCACGGACTTCGAGTACCAGGACCTGACGGGGATCGGTCTGCTTACCAACGACATCGAGGGCCGCACCTTCGCGCCGAGCGAGGTGGTCGAGAGTTGGCAGTCGAGCGAGGACCACCTCTACGACAAGTTCGTCCTCCGCGACGACCTCACCTGGTCGGACGGCGAGCCGGTGACCGCGCACGACTTCGCGTTCACCTTCAAGGCGATCATGACCAAGGACGTGATCGTCCCCGCGGTGCGCACCGGTCCCGATGAGTTACGCGCGGTGATCGCCTACGACGACCAGACCCTGGTGGTGTTCCACAAGGCGAGCCTGGCGACGAACGACGGCAACATGCAGTTCTACGCGCTGCCCAAGCACATCTACGAGAAGACGATCCCCGATGACCCGATGTTGTCCCGCAGCAAGGAGCACTCGCGGCTGGAGGACCACCCGGTTGTCGCCGGCCCGTACGAGCTGGTGAAGCGGGTCCGCGGCGACGAGTTCGTGGTGCGCCGCCGCGAGGCTTATTACCTGCACGACGGCAAGCAGGTCCGTGACAAGCCGTTCCTGAAGGAGGTCCGCATCAAGTTCATCGAGGACTTCAACACGGCGCTGCTGGCCCTCGTGCAGGGCGACATCGAAGAGATGATGCTGCGCGCCGAACAGTGGGAAACCCAGACCTCCGACGCCGAGTTCTACAAGCGGAACACGAAGGTGACGCAGCCGGAGTGGACCGAGTTCCACTTCACCTGGAACGTGAAGTCGCCCTTCTTCAGCGACCCTAAGGTCCGCTGGGCGATGACCTACGCGGTCGATTACACCGAGCTCATCGAAACGCTCTGTTACGACCTCTACGAACAGTCGCAAGGGAACTTCCACCCCGACTCGTGGATGTTCCCCAAGGACGCTCCGGAGCCGGTGAAGCAGGACCTCGACCGCGCGCAGCAGCTGCTCGCCGAGGCCGGCTGGGAGGACACCGATGGCGACGGCGTTCTCGACAAAGAGATCGGCGGCCGGCGCGTGCCGTTCGAGTTCACGATGCTCACCTACCAGTCGGAGAACGGCATCGCGACCGCGACGCTGATGAAGGAGTCGCTCGACCTGCTGGGGATCGTCTGCAACGTGAAACCGACGGAGTTCACCGTCTTGCAACAGAAGCTGCTGGACCACGAGTTCGAGGCCTCGATGGGCGGCTGGGGCAGCGGCAAGGACCCCGCGACCAACGTCAACATCTTTGGAACCGGCGAGGGCCGCAACTACGGCAATTATTCCAACCCGGAAGTCGACGAGCTCTTCGAGCAGGGGAAGCACGAGTTCGACCCCGAAAAGCGCGCGGAGATCTACGGCAAGATCCACATGAAGTTGTGGGAGGACCAGCCCTACACGTGGCTGTTCTACCGGGCGGGCTTTTACGCCTACAGCAAGAAGCTGCGCGGCTACAACCTGAGCCCGTGGGGGCCGTACTATTACACGCCCGGCGTGCACAGCATCTTCGCCCCGGCCCAGTGATCTGTCGCATGACCTGTCGCAACGCTCCCGCCTGATCCGCCCGCCACC